ATGAGTCCCTTGGGATTAATTAGCTTTCCTCCTGAAGAAAATCCAAAGCATTATCTTTATCTGTCACATTCAGATTAATTACTGTACCAGTAGCCTCTGTCTGCAAATGAACTTTGTTTTTAAGTTAGGTCAATTTTGGATGATGTGCACATTCTCTGAAATATGGATTTAAAATAATTTTCATACTTTAGTTAGGTTAAATACCGTACACAATGATATTTGATAATTTTATTGAATTCTAAAATCAAGATATATGTTAAGATATTCTTTCTTATTATCACTATTTCATTTTTTTTTTTGCTGCCTTTATGCTCTTAATTTGAATAGGTAATCACATAGTAACCCCATTCTGTCAGAGCTGAAAAAAGTTCTTATTGTAAATTTAGAAGAAAAGGATGAGAGAGCAGTACAATTAATCCCCTGAGATTAATTATCGTGCTTGCTGCAGAAAATTTAGAGACTTATCTTTATCTGTCACATGAAGATTAATGAACACCTTTGTCTGTAACTGATGTTTGTTTTGAAGTTTAGGTCAACCTTGGGTGATATTTGCATTCACTGAAAGCTTGCATTTTATAAAATACCTGCTTAAATCTTTTTAAATACACATTTAATTTAGTTTTTTTTAATAAGACTTGATCGAGGTTTTCCCTGTTTTATGTAAATACAAGGTTTCTATTTACAGGTTTTGGGACATTTAGGAATTATCTTGAAATTTTAAAAATATTGTAACAGTTGTAACTTATAATCTTCATATATTTTTTAAAAACGTAATCAAGTAAAACTCTCATTAAATGAGCTGCAGCCTTATATTTCTTCCCCTTAGCAGGGCCCTTGCTGACTGGTCAGTTTTCTAGTTATGTTACATTTAAAACAATTTTATGTCTGTTTATAAAATGTTTTCTTATTTTTACGTTCTTTTTCTGTAGTATCCCTTCGGAATTTGTAGAAAGGAAAAACAGTAAAATTGGGGGTTTTATTTTTGGCACAATTTCTAATGTGTTCGCTTACGGCGGTACACTGGTATTTTGGTTCCCTAATTTGTTGCTGGTGTACAGTCATTCTGTGTCTCAGGATGTCTCCTGTTTGGCCGATATAATTTTCACCTCAAACAGCACAGGTTATAACATAAATAAGATTAGAGCTGGTGCATGACATTGATAATTTAATTGTAAATTCGCTTCCGGTTTTAAATTGAAATTTAGATCCCTCTGTCAGGAATGGACAAGTACTGCATCTGGGCTTGTTGCATTTATTGTTGATAGCTGGTTCCTTGTTGTTAGTAGAAAAGGATGCTTTTATAAGTATTGATTTAAGAGACGGACTTTGTCGTTTACTCTCAATGATCTGTGAAGTATCTAATATTGTTTTCATGTCTGGATCATCCTCTAAAATGGGCAGATTTTTTCTAATAATGTTGAAAATCTCTGGATTTCTTGGGTTATGTGTCGATAGGTATGGTATGACATTATTAACCGGTTTGTTTTTCACGGTAAGTAGATCTTTTCTTTCTTGAGATTTTGCTTTGTTTATTCCGTTTTGAATCAATCATCTAGGATAGTGCCTACTATCCGATTCCATGGTGAATTTCAAAGTAGGGCTCAGGGTGTTGAGAATATTAAAAAATTCCATTAATAGATCCTCACTTTTGTCCCATATGATGAAACAGTCATCTAAGTAGCATATCCACGACTTCCTTATAAAAGTTTCAAAGTCCTGCCCGAATTTTTCTTTCGCAGTTAAATAGAGTTGTCTTCTAAGAATGCTAGGACAAGTGTAGCATAAGTTGGCGCAACTTTGGTTCCCATTGCCGTGCCTAATTTATGTCTGTAAACCATGTCATTAAAATGCTTGAAATTATTTTCCAAGATTAATTGGAGACTTTCTAAAACAAAGTTTTTGGAAAATCTGTCATGCAAAAGACTAGGAAATCTGTCTATCCAAGTTCTATTGCGATGAGTCCAAGATCATGTTGAATGTTAGAATAGAGATTATGAGCAGTACAGGAACAGTGCGCTAGACCGTTTGGCTATTTAGGCAAGTCAAAAAAACTTGCTTTCAATGCAGATGGAATTCAAACACCTTAGTGCGGGTATTACTGTCTCATAACAGCATCTTGTTAATCATTTTTGAAATCTCCAAGAAATAGTAATTTTTTAAAATTGAAAATCAGTAAATTAATCTTCAGAACTGTTGATTTCTGGTTTCATAGATAAAAGAGACACAATATGATATATGTGTTGAAGTTTTTTTTTTAAGGGAAAATAACAATTTATATTTTTTCATGGTTTTCAGAGGCTCCCCAGGTCCTTATGAACCAATTGTTCCACCTCCACCAGACATTCAGCCAGTAATTGACAGAATGGCTATGTATGTGGCCAAAAATGGAATCGAATTTGAAATTGTGGTCAAGAGTAAAAATGATCCAAGATTTGAGTTCCTTTTACCACATCATGTTCATTTTCCTTACTATGATTTCAAAAAGCAGATTCACATGAGGGTAAGAATATATGATTCTTTAATAATATTTGTTTGTACACTTAAGATTTTCCTCATCTTAAGATTGTGGACTCCTGCAGTCTTTTGTCCTTTTAAATTCATTATATGATTATTGGATGTTGTATTATTAATGAGTAGCTATTCTGGAATATTAATCCTACTAAAAAAGTACTTATAATTCTAGTCTTTTATCAAACTTATTCCAAACCATTGTCATTAATGATGGGTGTACGTGACTGCCAGGAAACACCTTAGGTCGTCAATTCAGCGACCCCCCACCCTTGCATTAAGAAATTTCTGGGGAAAACACTAAGTAATATTCTAGTATACTACATTTCCTTACATTTTACATCCATGTCAAGCACGTAAGCCATTATGGCCCTTCAGGCCTTTGATTCTTTATATGGAACTAATGAAAGCATCCTCAGGTGGTTTAGATTCAGGTTTGTTCAAATCATGACCCCTCAGGGTTAGGTTGTGGCCACAATGAGGGATCAAAGTTTTGCATAAGAAATATGAATATACAGTGAATCCCGCTTAATCCAATAGTCAATTTGTCAGCCTTCTGTTTTCAGAATAGCAGAATAATAGAATAACTGATTGCTCTATTTCGTGTCCAAACATAGATGTATAGAGAGAGCTTCATGTATTAACAACACATCGTAGCAAATTTCAAACTTGCACTTTCATTTTCGTTTGATTAATTTACCTGGTGATTCTCCTAAAAGAAAATGTTAAACTTACTTATCAATTTAATTTGATAAAATTTTTCAAATAAAATGACTTATAAAAATTGTTTTTTAATAGTTATTGCCATCTTTAATCAGTACGTTTACATTCCTTCTTCGACGGATGCCATTTTGGAAATGGAAGTAGACTAAAAGCCTGACTTTATTCCGTAATTTATTTTCCCCCAGATAAATGGTACATTAAAATTAAACAAAAATATTTAATTGTTTTGTTTTATTTGTTTCTTTAATATGGTTATGTATTCATATTGTTTGTGACAATTCTCGAGTCAATAGTTCTGTAATTATGATGCATTCCAATGTCCCAACAAATTGTCATACACAAGCTAATACGTTCAATAATTAAAATCTTACTTGGAAAAAATTGCAAACAATTATCATAATTAACAAGTACATCACTGAGAAGTAATTCAAATCCAAGCTGATCATCATAACTATAAACTAAACATATTGATCTAGTGTGCTAATTATTAACACAGGTAAGATGACTGTGTGCGTTCAGCCGTACTAATCCCCTCATTATCATACTCAAGGGGTCATACAGTGTAGACAAAGGCCTCACTAATGAAACAAGGTCACAATTATCAAAAAATACCATGATGGTCCAAATTTTTGTATCAGATAAAATGAATATCTAATATTTTCTCACCAGAATATCAGGAGAAATTATTAATAAATATATGAGAAATGGTTTTGTGCTCTGATATTATATTGAAATAGCCGAAATAGCAAGGGTCACAATGGGAGATCAAGTAATATGTAGGAAAAATCTTTTCTTTTCTTTACAGGTATGGCAAACTTATACACGAATGCTTTATTGATATAGTGACATTGTCAAGTAATAAAAAATTCAAACCCCCCTCCATTACCAAGTAAACTTTTCAATACTGAGTGAGCTGATTTGTGTTTTTTAAGTAGCCCATGTGCTCAGGAAAGCAATGTGGCCCATGGGCCTCTTGTTGATATAGTGACATTCTCAAGTAATAAAGAATTCAACCCCCCCTCCCCCACCAAGTAAACTCTTCAATACTGAGCTGATTTGTGTTTATTACCTAGCCCATGTGCTCAGGTGAGCAATGTGGCCCATGGGCCTCTTGTCTAAAAAAAAACTTCATAAAAAATTTAGAAACTGTCACATTATGTCATATCTCAACTTTTCTTTTCATTTTAAAACATGGTATTTGTTCTCCAACGTAGGAATCAGATTATTTAAGCATCACAAATGAAAAGATCATTCATAACATTTTTTCGTCAGCCATTTTGATAAAGAAAAGTACAAAACCATAAATTGAAAATTGTTGTTGAATTGAATTTACAACATTATCCTTGTAATATATATCTCAGTTCTTTTTATTATATCCTTTCACAGTGTGAAAGGATATCAATATGATATCCTGTCACAGTGTGACGAATATCAGAAGTGTGGGAAAACTCTCATAACGAAGATTAGCTACAAAAAAAAATCTTCCTTGGCCTAATATAAGATAGATGAAAAAAAAAAAAACCATTCTGACAGCAAATAAAACTGTCAAAATTACCAAAAATATGTTGCTAAATCCATGTTTACAGTGTTTTCATCTCACTTAGCTATGACGTCTCAACCGCTCTTTACACGAGCCTATGACTGTATTACAAAAAGACAGATGCAAAGGAAAAATCAAAGAATTTTTTTAAAAAAATGTAATAAATAGAAAATTCAATGTTTTGTAGTTGAATATGGAATTTATTTCACTCGTGAGAATAATATTCTTGCTTTCTTAGGTGTATGGAATTTATTTTAATTTTATTTAGATTTAAATATGAATCTACTGAATCTCGGAAATAGCGATTTTTCATATCAAATAAATTTCCACGCAATTTAGATAGGTTAAATCAATTGCAGATACCCCGCTTTATACAGTATAGTGTAGAAAAAATGTCCATGACTCACTCACTGTTTTTCCGGGATTTTGAATTTCCTCTGCAACTGACCACGTGTATTACTTTCGCTTTTACGACTCTGTATATGCTAAGTGTCATTGCTTCACTGCAAATGTGTCCCATAATTATTCTAATTATTTTCCTACATACAATATCACATCAAACCGACAAGATCTCAGTTTTTTAAGAAATTTGACCGGTACTTTCCTACGAAACTACATGTATCCTCTAGCATCTTAAAAAAAAAATAGTTTACAAAATACTCTTACTTGTGTACAACTTGATGGTTCAATGGTTAGCGTGTCTGACTTACATACTAAGGGATGTAGGTTCGAGCCCAGCTGGAGGAATTTTTTGATATTTTCATAATTCTCTTTATCGGGTTTTGTTCTTGATGAACGGTGTTGCTGTGGTTACTAAAAATAGAAATTTCTGTGAAATACATTCAAAATGCTACATCTCCTACAGTTTTGGTCTGATTTCAATGTAACTTGGCACACAAGTAGACTACAATAAGACACACAATTCTATATATCGGTTTTTGACTTCAATGAACATGCTTTGGTTACTAAAAATAGAAATTTCTGTTAAATACTCTCAAAATGCTGCTCCAAATACAGTTTTAGTCTGATTATAATATAATGTGGCATGCAAGTAGACTACACTAAGAACATAAAGAGACTTAATCAAGGATCGTTATTCTATTTATTGCTGTTGTAAAGTTTCAATTCCCTACTGCTTAAGTACTTTTCTCTTCCTTTGCTATAAGTACAAACCAGTAGAGTTTCAGTCTCTACAGAGACTTCTGGTTAACTTTTACATCTGTTGCAATGTCTATTACTAACAAAAAACAAGAGGCCCAGGGGCCACATCGCTCACCTGAGCAATTGGCTAGGAAAAAGCACATATCAGATCAGAACTGAAAGTTTACTGAGGGGGGGGCTTGAATTTTAACCCCCAGGGGGTCATGATTTGAACAAAATAGGATCTACACTACCTGAGGATGATTCCCTATAAATATCACTAAGCGTGGCTTTGAAGTACTTGAAAAGAAGATTTTAAAGGTTTCCCTAATATTCCTATGTAAAACTTTTATCGGCCATTTGGCCCCACCCTATCCCTGGGGGTCATGATTTGAACAAACTTAAATCTACACTACCTGAGGATGATTCCACATGAGTTTCATCTTTCCTGGCCCAGTGGTTCTTGAGAAGAAGATTTTTAAAGATTTTCGTATATATTCCTATGTTAAAATCTGATCAGCCATTTTGGCCCCACCCTACCCCCGGGGGTCATGATTTGAACAAACTTGAATATACACTACCTGAAGATGATTCCACAGAAGTTTCATCTTTCCTGGCCCAGTGGTTCTTGAGAAGAAGATTTTTAAAGATTTTTCCTATATATTCCTATGTAAAACTTTGATTGGCCATTTTGGCCCCACCCTAGCCCCGGGGGTCATGATTTGAACAAACTTGAATCTACACTACCTGAGGATGATTCCACAGGAGTTTCATCTTTCCTGGTCCAGTGGTTCTTGAGAAGAAGATTTTTAAAGATTTTTCCTATATATTCCTATATAAAACTTTGATCGGCCATTTTGGCCCCACCCTACCCCCGGGGGGTCATGATTTGAACAAACTTGAATCTACACTACCTGAGGATGATTCCACATGAGTTTCATCTTTCCTGGTCCAGTGGTTCTTGAGAAGAAAATTTTTAAAGATTTTTTCTATATATTCCTATGTAAAACTTTGATTGGCCATTTTGGCCCCACCCTACCCCCGGGGCTCATGATTTCAACAAATTTGAATCTACACTACCTGAGGATGATGCCACATGAGTTTCATCTTTCCTGGCCCAGTGGTTCTTGAGAAGAAGATTTTTAAAAAATTTTCCTATATATTCCTATGTAAAACTTTGATCGGCCATTTTGGCCCCACCCTACCCCCAGGGCTCATGATTTGAACAAACTTGAATCTACAGTACCTGAGGATGATTCCACATGAGTTTCATCTTTCCTGGCCCAGTGGTTCTTGAGAAGAAGATTTTTTAAAAATGCCATTAATTTTTCTCTAATTAGGTCACCTGAGTAAACTCAGGTGACCTATTGCTATCCGTTTTCGTCCGTCGTCGTGCGTCGTGCGTCGTGCGTTGTGCGTCGTGCGTTAACATTTGAACATTTTCAGCTTCTTCTCTGCAACCACTGAACCAATTTCAACCAAATTTGGCACAAAGCATTTATGGGTGAAGGGGAACAAAAATTGTGAATTTCATGGTCCCTGCCCCCCTGGGGCCTGGGGGGTGGGGCAAAAACCACTAAAATTAATGC